ATTTGCTTTTTAGAAGTATGTTTTTTTACATGTAGTGAGATGTACAATAAATGTACATTTTAGTTACTTTTGACATACACATACTCCTATGTAGCTGACATCCAGTCAAGTATAGAGCAACTCCATTGTTTCAGAAGGTTCCCTGGTACCCCTTTCTAGTCAGTCATTTCTAAGAGGCAACTGTTGTTCTGATTTACATTGCCACAGTTAGTTTCACCTCTTGTAGGTGCTGTTTAAAAGCATAAGGCTGAATGAGCTTACGGAGGAGATTACAAATTAGAAAAAGAAAAGGCCAGACACTGAGCCTCACTGGAGTGGCAGTGACCCAGGGAGCAGTGGGGAGGAATCAGCAGGGAGTTGAAGTGGAGTAGCCACGAGGGGAGGGTAAGAGCTGACTAGAGTGGAATCCAGAGAAACAAATGAGAAAAGTGTTCAAAAAGGAAGGAACGATGACCTGTGTCAAATGTGGCCAAGAGGTCTTGTAAGATAAAGAATTGATTAATAGATTAGCAGCAGAGGATCATTAGTGACCTTGAAGTTGCTGTATTAGAGTGGTGTGGCCTGAGTGTGTGCTTGGAGTAGATTTGAGTGAATGGGATGAGAAGGATTGGGCAAGAATATAGACAGCAGTTTGGGGAGCAGGAAAATAGAGTAGTATTTAAAAGGGGAGAAGTAGGGGACAGAGGGTGAGAGGATTTTCTTTCTTTTTTTGATAAGCAGTGTTTCAGCATTTTTGTGGGTTGATATGACTAGTTGGAGGGAAAATTGACGATGGAAGAGAAATAGGAGAAAATTACTATAGTGATGTCCTTTAGTTGGCAGAAGCTTCACACAAGGGAGCAGCTGCCTGAGAAACAGAGACCAAGGCTCTTCCTCCAAGACAGTAGGTGTGAGCGAAAGTTCTCTTTGGTTACATCCATTTGCCCTGTGACGTCAGAGGTTGAGAAGTCCAAGTGTATTAGTCTGAGCATGGAAATGTTAATATCTCATCACCTCACACCTAACTCTGCTGATGACAGTTGGGTCACTTGTCTGTGACAACACAGTTTCTTTCTTCAGGGCACCAGTAGTACCTTTTTTTTTTTGGTCTTTTTGAGACAGGGTCTCGCTATGCAGTTCAGGCTGGCCTTGAGCTCACTTCGTAGCCCAGGCTGGCCTCAGAACTTGTAACGATCCTCCTGCCTCAGCCTCCCAAGTACTGGGATTATAGGCGTGTGCCACCATGCCCGGCTAGTAGTACCTTATTTTTTAGACTGCTGTGAGTTTGAGGTGAAAAAATGCCTACCATTGTTCCTGGCCCATAAGAGGTATTTAATAGGAGATCATTCCTTTTTAAGTGCATTTTTATTAGCGTGCATTTGCAGTATGTACTGATTACATTTATCGTGGGAAGTTTGTACTTGCACATAACACATCTTAATTCTCTTTTGTCCCCTTCCCCTCCCAACTCTCCCTGCTCCCTCCAACCCTAATCCTCCTTCCTACTTGAAAAGTTCTATTTCTTTTTTGCCCCTCTGATTCCATTTTACAAATCCTTCTTCCTTTTCTTTCCTCCCCTTTCCATTTCTTGCTCCCTTCCCCATTTGAAAAAGATCTCTCTACTTCTATGATCTATTCTTTATTTTGTTCTTCATTTATATTTTGGTCTTCTCATATAAGAGAAACCAGGTGATATTTGAACTTATGAGTCTGATTTATCTTACTTAGCATTACAGTCTCAGGGTGCACCCAGTTACTGGCAAATGTCTCAAGTGTACCATTCTTTGGTTTTTTGTTTTTTGGGTTTTTTTTTTCCCTGGTATCGGGAATTGAACTCACGACGTCGCGCTTGCCAGGCAGGCGCTGTGCTGCTGAGCTAAATCCCCAGCCCCAAGTGTACCCTTCTTTAAGGTAGAGCAGTCCTCAATTGTGTATAAAAACCACATTTTTTATCCATTCATCTGTCAATGGACATATAGGCTGCTCCAGGATTTAGCTGTTTTAAATTGTGCTGCTGTAAACATGGGTATGCATGTTTCACTGTATGTGATAGTGATGCCTTTGATTCTTTCAGGAAGATTCCTAGAAGGGGAATAGCCGGGTCAAATGGAATACCTATTTTTAGTTTTTTGAGGAATTTCCATACTCCTCTCCATAGTAGTTTGTACTAGTTTACTTTCCCACCAACAATATAGAAGGGTTCCTTTTTCAACCTCCACAGCCTTGCTGGCATTTGTTATTATGTGATTTCCTGATGATGGCCATGCCTTCTGGGGTAAGATGGAATCTCAGTGTTGTTTTATTTTGCATTTTTTAAATGGCCAGTGGTGTTGAACATTTTTTCATGTATTTATTTGCCATCTGTTCTTCTGAGAAGTTTCTGTTCATTTTGTTTGCCTGGTTTTTGACTGGATCCCTTATTTGGGGGTTGAGGCGTCAGTCCTCTATCTGAGGAATAGCTGGCAAAATTTTTTCCCATTGTGTAGATTGTCTCTTCACTCTGTTGTTTGTTTCCTTTGCTGTGCAGCTTTTTAATTTGATATGATCCCATTTGTTGATTCTCAGTGTTATTTCTTGTGCCATTGGGCTTCTTTTCAGAAAGTCCTTGCCTACACCTTTGTGTTCAAGAGTTCTACCTATTTTATTTTCCAACAGATTACGTGTTTCTGTTTTACTATTTAGATTTTTGATCCATTTTGATTTTAGTTTAGTAGCTGATTAGATATGTAGATCTAGACTCAGTCTTCTGCATGAGGATATTCATTTTTCCCAGCACCATTTATCAAAGAAATTACCTCTCCTCCAGTGTATGTTTTTGTTTCCTTTGTTCAAGATCAAATAGTTGGACTATTCCTTTTATTAGTCATAAAATTATTACTACATTATAGGTAGAACAGTCTGTCCATTCATCTGTCTTTATCTTTTTGTCTCTTCCTTTCCTTCCTTTTCCCTCCCTCCTTTCCCTTACTTCCCTCCCTCCCTTCTTCCCTTCCTTTCTTCCTTCTTTCCTTTTTTGAGACAGGCTTCTTGCTGTGCAGTTTAGGCTGGTCTTGCCCTCACTATGTAGCCTAGGCTAGCCTTGAACTCGCAGCAGTCCTCCTGCCTCAGCCTCCTGAGTACTGAAATTACAGGCATGCACCACCATATCTGGGGAGAAGTACTTCTAGTATTTAAAATATGACTAAAGTCTAAAAGAATTAGATATAGTAGTCCATCTTGGTCTGCAATTTTGCATTGCATACCAGGTTTCAGTTATAGTCCTGCCTCAGTCTGGAAAGATTAAATGAAAAATTTTAGAAATAAACAATTCCTAAGCTTTAAATAACTTTATTGAAGGGTATTGCAAAATTTTTTTTGTGTGTGTGTTGGGTATCAAACTCAGGATGTTGTGCTTGCCAAGCAGTCACTGTGCAGCTGAGCTATCTCCCGGGCCAAAATTGTTCTATTTTACTATTAATGTTATTTTTTTTTAAAGGAAAGATGTAATTTGGCCCATGTGTTGTTAATTGTTTCAAGCCTAATTTGTAAATCAACTATTGTAGGCATTATATATGTGGGAAGAAACATAGCATAGTCTTAACTTCTGAGGCACATTATGTGAAATGTGTTGTTAGACAATTTTGCTGTCCAAGTATAGAGTGTACACAAACTAAGCTGGCTCTTTGTCACAGGGTGATTTATTCATCTGGAACCACCATGGTGTACGCAGTCCATTATTGACCGGAAATGTCATTATGTGGTGCATTCTTACATACTTAGGTCCAATATTGTGTGCATCATTTCAGGCCTCCGCTGAGGTCTTGGACATTTTCTCCATGGATGAAGAGGGGCTACTGCATTTTCATCTGATTTTTCTTCTGATTTTCCAGTTAAATCTATCGCATGTCATTTGATAAATTTGATTCACCAATCTGTTAAAAAGAAAGTTTTAGTTATATTTTTAGAAAGTTCTGAGTTTTAGAGGTCTCTTGATCTCTGCTTAGTTTGACTATGCTCAAGAATGGAATGGGGTTGAATCTATTGTGGATTTTAAAATCTCAGATTGATTTAGTTAAAAAGTTTAAGTGTGGACAGTTTCTAATATTCACAAGATGTTAGTAATCCCCATGTACTTATGATCTACCACCTTGATTGATTAATTTAGAGAACTAAGTAATCTTTTAGAACATGTGGAACTTAATTCACTAATGAATAAGAATTGAAGATTCTGATATAATCATAATTTATTGTTTTATTCATATATTCATGCACAAAATTTATTGAGGGCCTGATTTGTTCATTAGTACCTAGTGGCTAACAACCTTGAATGAGTGCAAATTCTAGCTCTGTTGTTTGCTCTGTGGCCTACAGCAAATTAAAATATTCTAAGCTTGTTTCCACCTTGACAAAATTGACTTAATGCCCAAATTTACCTCATAGCCTTGTTGTAGGGATTAAGTGAGTTACACTGGCATTAACAATAAATATTACCTACTGTTACTATGAATACCCTTGCACTTTTTCCTTGTCAGTATCTTTGTCATCCATATTTTGTGACAAGTGCAACTGGAGAATGTAAAAGGGTAAAGATGGGGAATCTGACATCAAAGAACTAGAATTCCAGAATCACACGCTATTAGAGCAGGGAGGGATCTTCAGTATTATCTAGTTTGGCAAGCCTAAAAAGTTGAGTAAATCATTCAGGATTAGCTAGCTGTTGGTGGCAAAGCCAGACCAAAGCTCAGGCATCCTAACTATGAACTTTCTTACAGAACGACTGTTCTGTTGCTATGTCCAACTCTTTCTACTTCTTTAAGCCCTAGTTATCCTAACTTGACAGTCCTGTCTTGCATATTTTTCATTTCTCTGTCCTTTCAGTGCAAACATTGGAATATATATGTGAGGCTTTTTGCACACATCAGAGCTGAACATGTCCCTGGGTCCTCCCTCCTTCAGATTCCAAGGAAGACATTATAGAGAAGTGGACAAACTGTCTCTCTATCTGTAATCACAAGGACGTTTTTATCTTTCTTGCATTATAGCCCAGGAGTTGAAGTCACTGTTTGAAAAAAAATCCCTCAAAGAGAAACCTCCAAGTTCTGGAAAGCAGTCCATACTATCTGTCCGCCTGGAACAGTGCCCTCTGCAACTGAATAATCCTTTTAATGAGTATTCCAAATTTGACGGCAAGGTAAGTTTAAAAGATGAGACTTTGTCCCTTTAAATAAAGAACAACAATTGAGTGGAAGTGTTGGTTGTTAGATTTAGGATTTTAAAAGTGCCCCAGTAAATATAGATTGTCACTCACATTTTCTAAAACTATAGATATGAAAAAGTAAGAATTTGGGTTCAGTGTTTTTTCCATGGTAATATATTTGGGAGGATTAAAACAAAACAACCCTGAGATCTTTCTATATACTTATAAGTATATATTTTTAAGAGAGGAAGACCTACATATTTACTTGTTTTATTTAAGTTTGCTTGAGAGATTGGGCCATTTGGAGTGTGATTAATCAAGGTCTAGTTGTGTTGGGAAATTCTTGAACATAGTTCTGGGAGGCAGTTTGCACATTTTGTTTAATTATTAGAAGTGCAGAAATTGTTGAGGTTTAAACTTCATTTCACATTTCAGTATTTCATGTTGCAGGGCGTCTCATTTGACACTTACAATAGAAGATGACTTTATTTTTCTCCTGTTTGTTCCAGTAATTTGTTGTTGTAAAACTAAAGTAGATTCATTTTGCTTTTACGAAAATGGCCACTGTTTCAGGAGGAACCCTGCTGCATATCCAGCAACCCCTTCCCCCTTCCGCGGCTGTTCTGTGTCTCTGTGCTGAGATGAGTGGGGCTTTTTCCAGGAGACAGTAGCAGTTGATTTCTGTACTTACTGCCATTATATTTGCTGCCTAGCAGTGGTGTGTGGGTGCTTGAGTGTAGCTTCTTGCCTAGAGGGGTCCTGTACAATTTGTCTTATTTCAACACCATTGCAATTAATAAGCACACAGCTCTTTGCTTATGTTTGCATTTTTCTTATTCATGTGCTAGTTCTGTCAGTTGTCATCTTTAAGCAAAGAGATGTTTTCTCTTCTAAACATTTTACCTCATGCAATTTAGCCTGCTTCCATAGGTTGAAGTAAACATATATGGTAAGGTTGATGTTTGTAGGGAAGGAGCAAGAACCAGAAGCAAAAAGCATAGAAAACATAAAGATCCTATGCTCAGGAATTACCTCCAGAAAATATCTGAAAGGACTTTTAGTAAATTATAGATTACATTGCTCTGAAGCTTCTGTTCAGCCTGCCTGTGCTGCCTTCTCCTGTCCTGTGGAACGAAGCAAGAAAAGGAAGCTTGCCCCAGGGACCTAGAGTCAGACTGTGGAGAATTAAAAAATATATACTACAGTTCATTAATTAAGGTAGAAGTTATTGTTGGGGTTAGGATACACTGCCTGAAATTTCTTTGCTTTTGTTGACTGCTACCATCTCATTGTTTAAGGATATAAATTACTAGAATAATTACTGTGTGGTAATGTTTTTGTGCCAACAAACTAGCACAGTTCTTTTAAAATATTACATTCTAGAATTTTCCTTATACCATTACATTTTATTATGAATTACTTGGGTTTTGATTTGTCACAAGGTTGTGAACTCTGCTTTGTTTTTATGTCTAACTTCTGTAGGGCCAGGGAGAAATTTTTTAACAAATATAAACCATTTCCTCAGTCACAAAGGATCTATTTTTGTTAGATGTATGTTTACATTGACTTTTTATGCTTTTGTCATAGCAAATCTTTTTGTAATCTGCAAGGGATGGAGCAGTCATTATTACACAGTGATTAAGAAAGATTTATATATTGATAAGTCTATCTTATGATGCAATGCAATTTTATTATTATCTTACATATTACAATTGCTAAAATACAATTAAACTCTTGTTCTCATCTATTATTTAATATCGATGCGTTTGGCAGATATGTCATGAAAATGGCTAATATTTGAAGGATATTGTACTCTGCATATTTAATTAGTCTTTCTTTATCTTTGTGAAATGCATCAATATGATATTCAAAGACATCTCAATGATTAATAGAGAATTATACTTGAGTCAAGCCTTTTTGTAACCTAGAAATTAAAATGACTATTCAAATAACACCTCAAAATGATCAAATTAGCATTTTGTGATTGCATAATAATGGGATTGTAGTAGTTATAACGCACCATGGCTGCCTCTAGAGTTAAGATCATGTCAACCCCTTGATAATAAAGCCTTTTCCAGCAAGTCGACTTTAATAATTTCCAGATTGATTCTTCCCATAAATCATCTGACATTCAGCACTAAATTTTTGTTACTGTTGTAACTTAAAATTATTTTATTTTTATTCAGCTCATATTTAAGAAATGAATGTTCTGTTTTAATGATTCACCATCTTGTCATTGGTATTCCATGCCTTTTGCTTCAAATGTAAGGGTTTTTCTATCTAGTGTATTCACACACACACACACACACACACACACACACACACACACACACATTCTTTTGGAAAAGATTTGTTAAAGCCACTGAAATATATATATTTTTTCCCCTACAAATATTCACAATGCTTTTCTTGGGACTAACGCTTGCCTTATTTACATAATTAACTGAGTTCCTTGGGTCTCTTGGGCAAATTGGCACATAATTGGGGAGAGAAAGGGACAGAGAAGAGTTTGGGGTCTAATTAAATATGCTAAAAAACTACTTAATTATGTATTTCCTCAAGAGACTAGCTGCTGTGCAGTCCTCCTTAAAATTAAACCAGACTTAGATTATAAAAGAGGATTATGTTTGTGGTGTGGCTTTACAATCACTTTGCAGTTTTAAGCGCAGTGTCCTTAACAGTTTGTGCAAACTGGATTGTTTCTTCTAGTGAGTCTAGCTTAGCATTACTGAGCTCTTGTGCTAAACTAAAGCAAATATTTTCATTAATTTTTGGTTCATGTAGCTGGTTAATACATTGTAAAAATTTTTATTGTGGCTTGTTAGTAACTTTTAAGGCATGAAATTGAGAGAGAAAGGCTGAATTGAGATTTGTGCTTTGTTGTAGTTTTGACAGTTGTTTGGTCAGGCTTATTATTACATTATTTCTTTGACAAACTGATGATGCTGTCTATACCTTAGAGTCTCAGATTATTGTTTAGTGATCATTTGATAGAAGTGAAGACAGGGCTACAAGGTGGTTTTAGGGAATATTTTGATCAGAGGAGGCAGAATGAGGCTCAGCCATCCTCCTGAATTCTTTGACTCTGCTGAGAACAGAACCTCTGAATAGCCTCATTAAAAATACAAAATATTCAGAGATGGAAACAGTCAGGAAACTTCTTGAGCCAGTCCTTCAGACTTCACTGTGGGGCACATATTGGCTGTGTCCAGAGCTGCTTCTGTGTGAGGCGGGGATGAGGTCTGCAGATAGGCAGGAGGCACGGGCACTGTGTGAAGTGCCCTGGAGTAGGAAGCTGCCTGCCCTGTTTCTCCTTGTTTCAAATGAGGTCATGTTTTCAGAAGTGACTCTAACTCTTATCCTTTCATGCCTATCACTTACTTGAGAATCTTTTGCTAGTGTGTCATCACTATTCTGGTCAAACTGAGTTTGCATATATTGTCGTTGTGATTAGACCATCAGAAGTCTTAAGTACCAGATTCCTGCCAGTATGCTTCCTAAGAAATGGTACTGATTATAAATTGTGTCATTTCAGTTTTTGCCATCTCTCTGAACCTGTTTCTGGACCTCTGGAAAAAGATAACATCACTAGGCCAATGAAATTATCAAAAATAAACAGTGCTAGAATAAAGCACCCTGCATAATGAGATGCAATATGGCTAATAAACTCCTATTTTGTAGGAAGACCTCAGTTATATCCAGACAACATCCCTTACAGTATGCTATCAAGCTAGTTATTTTAACCTCATGAAACTTGATGGGAGATCTGGGCATACTTCCCTGAAATATGACACTATGGTATAGTGATCATTACAAGCTGAGGGAGGGGCCGGGGATCTAGCTCAGTGGCACAAGTGCCTGCCAGGCAAGCACAAGGTCCTGAGTTCGATTCTTGATACCAAAAACATCAACAACAACAACAAAAATAAGCTAAAGGAACCTGAGAAATGGCAGGAAGGATTCGCTGTCTTTCCCCTGTCCTACTACCCTACAGCAGGCCACAAGGCCTTCACACCTGGGGGAAAGGAGCTTCCTTATCTCCAAAGGTGGAGGAATGGGAGAGGAAAATGAAAGAATGGGCCTTGCAAAATTTCCCTAGTTGATTGCGTTTTCCTCTTTTTTTTGTTTGTTTGTTTGTTTGTTTTTCTCCCACACCGGGAACCGAACTCACAACCTTGCGCTTGCCAGGCAGGCGCTTTGCCACTGAGCTAAATCCCCAGCCCCTTGCGTTTTCGTCTTATGCCCTTTCCTATCATGGTTTCCAAATGCTTTCTACTCTGCATCATATCTAGAGTAAAAACACTCAGGTTTAACTGTTTCCTGGAGTCTTCATTTCCTTATGAAAGCTATTTGTCCTGTGAAATTTATATTAAATAAGTTTGGATACTTTGCTCCTATTAATCTGTTTCTTGTTAATGAGGCCTCAGCGAAGAAGTTAGCAGTTAAATGGAAAAGATATTTGTTCTCCCCTGCAAACTCCAGTCCTCATGTGGAAGGAAGTGATCAGAGTATCCTCCTCCTGGGGAGTAAATGAGACAAAGGCCTGGTTAGCAGGACACATAGCACATAGGAAGCACTCAGGAAATACCCCACCTCTGTCTCTTCTAAAGGAGGGGCAGTGGTGATGTCTCTTCTGTGCTTTATTAGGTTGTCAGCAGGGCTGAGTGAAAAGAAACTGCTCTTCAAAGTAGGATTTTAGAATTGGGTCCTTAAATAGATAAGGTGTTAAGCCGGTTTTGGGTGAAAGCGATCTGTCTGCCGTTAGAAGCTCAGGAACCCAGTGGGATTTTGAACCTCACTTCAAATAGAAAGATTAAGACAAATAAATTACTTTCTTTTGTTTTTAATTTATTTTAATTTATTCATTTATTTATTTAGAGACAGGATCTTGCTTTGTAGTTGAGGTTGGTCTTGAATTCCCCTAGGTAGCCCAGGCTGCCCTTGAACTCATGGTGATCCTCCTGCCTGAGCCTCTCAAGTGCTGGGATTACAGG